CTGTCTCCAGGTCAGAGATGTCTGTGGTTAGATCCTAGGAGGAACAGTGTCCTGCTTCAGGCAGGTGCCAGCATTCACAGCATTGACTCCAGCAGGTAACTGGAGCTGGCGATCAGAGGCAGGAAGCCAGAGTTTAATAAACAGAGTCTGGAATTACACAAGAATCGTCTGAGCAGGCCAAGGTCAGTTTTCCAAAAAGCAAGTTAGAAACAGCAGCAGGTTGGCATTCCAAGGAAACTCGGTGAAGCCACATTCAAGAGCTTCACCCATACTTTTATACACTTCAAGTCCTACATCACACCTGCAGCTACGTCTCCTCGGGTGATGTTTCTTCTTCCTTTGCAATTGGTTGCAGATGCTGAGCTCGGAGGCAGGCTGACCTGTGTCGGGACTGTAAATCCCCTCTCCACCTGCGCCAGTGTTGCTCTTGAGGCCCTGGGGATCCTGGAGGAGACGGAACAGCTGGCTGACCCTGAAGCGTCAGCTCAGGGCTAGGAGGATGAAACACGCACCTCATTGCCTCCCAGCGGTGATTCCAATCCTCATCTGGTTGCGCCGCTGCAGCTGGCTGGTGGCCGACAGGCACGGAATCCAGCCATTCACATCCTTAGAGGAGTCAGGTCTCCAGGGCCCGGCTGTTCCACGACACACAGTTAAGAACTGAATGCAACATATTTTGGGAACTGTATGAGACACCTACTCTTGAAAGCCTCCGTGGTGGAGTCTCTGGTGCACCATCAAGTGAGAAGTGCGTCGGAAGTCCTTCCCACAGCAAGGGCACTTGAAGGGTTTCTCCCCGTTGTGGATCCTCTGGTGCATAAGAACGTTGGAGCTCCGGCTGAAGCCCTTCCCGCAGTCAGGACACTTATAAGGCTTTTCTCCCGTGTGGGTTCTCTCGTGGGAAACCAGATTGGAGCTGCGGCTGAAACACCTCCCGCAGTCGGAGCATCTGTAGGGCTTCTCCCCCGAGTGGACTCTCTGGTGGACGATCAGCTGAGCCTTCTGGCTGAAGCCTTTCTCGCACTCGGCGCACCGGTAGCTCTTCTCTCCTGTGTGTGTCTTCAGGTGTTGCAGGAGGTGAGAGTTCTGTCCAAAACCTCGCTCACAGTGTGGGCATGTGTAGGGCTTCTCGCCCGAGTGGGTCCTCTGATGTTTGATGAGGGCCGATGTGTCCCCAAAGCGTTTCCCACATTCGGGGCAAGGGCAGGGTTTCTCTCCTGAATGGATTCTCTCGTGGATTACTAAGTGAGAGTTCTGGCGGAAGCTCTTCCCGCACTGCATGCACCTGAAGGGTTTATCTCCCACGTGGATCCTCTGGTGTTTGACG